CCACTGGTTTTTCTCTATAAAGCCACTCCCCACCCTTTTCTTTTTCTTTAATAAACTTTTAACCATCAGCAGCTCGTCTCTTCCTTCTCAGCATAGTTACAGCTCAGACTTTGAGAATAGCCTGGGCAACATAGAAGACTTCATCTCTACAAAAAAAAAAAAAAAAAAAAGGTAGCCAGGTGTGGTGGCATGTGCAGGTAGTCCCAGTTACTCAGGAGGCTGAGGTGGGAGGATTGCTCGAACCCAGGAATTCAAGGCTGCAGGGAGCTATCATTGCACCACCACACTCCAGTCTGGGTGACAGAGAAAGACCTCATCTCTTAAAAAATAGAATAAAATAAAAGAACAGGTTGCCTTACTGTTTTCCTGCCATACTGGTCTGAGATGTTTCCCCAGAGTGTGGAGCTGGACATCATGCCTACAAAGACCACCTGTGGGTGCAAAGAAAGATAGTTTCTGTTAGACAGAGCACAGAGCATCACAGAGAAGGGGAATAGCAAACTGAAGCTGTGGCATCACATTCCAGATAAAGATAATGACGTGCAAACTCCATTCTAAGAGCTTCCTGTCACCATGGGAGCCTCCCAACAATCCCACAGGCCTGTGCTATTGTCATCCCACAGGCCTGTGCTATTGTCATCACCGTCCTCCTGATGAGGAAACTGAGACTCAGAGAGCGGTGATCATGTAACTAGGGTCACACAGGTGTCAGTGGTGCTGCCTGGACTGGAATCAAGTAGTCTGGCTCCAGCGCTAGCATTTGACCAGTTTCTCACCATACCAAAGAAATGCCTTGCCTTTCTGCTAAGAAAATATCAAGGTTACAAGACCGTGCTTGGCAGGTATGAAAAAAAAAAACAGGCAGACAGGAGCTGGCAACTGTCAGTAAGAGAAGCCACTCACTGTGTGTCAGGCAAAATCGTTACATTGTTAATCCTTAGACAAACAGCGGATGAGCTGTATGTGATCATACAAAGGTGTATGGGATCCCCTATCAAACAGATGGGGAGACGAGGCCCAGAAAGGGTAAGAAACCTGCTCAGTGTTCCTGAAAAGCAGGGTACAGCCAAGTCTGAGATCCAAGCAGGCTGACGGGAGCCTCACCACTGTGCTTTCCTCTCCCCAAGAGCCACACGCCAGGCTGAGGGCTTTATGCACATAAATCCTCACAGCAGCCCTACCCGAGGTGGGTGCTAGTTTTATCCCCCAGCTACAGATAAGGCTATCCCTCACAGAGGGAAAGGCACGACCTCTGTTCTCTCTGACCCTAAAAGCATTCCTCCTTGGCATGTCCTGGGCCGTGGACCACAGACGGGCATCCACAGAGACATTTCAAGGGAAAAGCAGACACGATCGTTTTAAAGGAATTAATTTCCACGTCCTCCCCCACGGACTCTTTCCTGAGAGCGAGTCAGGGGTCTGCCCTATTCCCTGGCCAACTCTTTCTTTCTCAGCCACCCCTCCCCCACTTCTCATGGTGCGGTCTGACCCACGCAGCTCAAAGGGCGTGGTTTGCCAAGCAAACCCACCAGGATGCCGCTCCAACGCCACCAAGACACACTTACAAATCCTTTTGCAAGTTCGCTAGTTTCCAATACCTTTACTATGATTTTCAACAAAATTGAAGGAGAACCTAAGTATGCTGTCAGCAAAATGAGATCCCTACAAACAATTTTTTTCACGAACCACAGCTGAGCGCTCTTTAGCATAAAACTTGGAAATTGTTTTTAGAAAATCGAGTGGAATTGGTCTACTGAGTTAAAACAAAACCCCTTCCGTTCCTCAAAAGGTTTTTTTTTATATGAACAGAACTTTTCATATTTATATTCATTCATTAAAAATGACAACTAAGAATAGAATTGGCACTGAACCTTGTCCTAACTTTAGGGGCAATCATCCAGGAACATGTAAAATATTGAGACAGGAGGCAGCTAGAGAAAGGCTAAGCAGAAAGACAGGCGCGTCGTCTGGTAACAATGTAGCAAAGTCCCCCCAACCCTCTCAGGCTTTGCATTGCTAAACAAGTTCCCCGTGCAAGCCTCGCAAGTTAGAGCTTAAGTACTCTCTGCTGGGATTGAGAAGCAACCAATCAGCTCGCCATTAGGCCCCTGCCTCCTTCCGATTGGTCCTTAATACTGACTAATCAGAACAGCCAAGTGTGGACCAATCAGCTCACAGCTAGTGCTAGCCAATCGGCTTGGAGTTAGGGCTTTATAAGCACCAGCTATTCCCCCCCCCCCGACTGACAAGTCTTTTGGGTGTCCTGTTTGTGTGGGAGCTTCTCTGTCCTCTCATTAGGTACTGCTTTCTCGTTATTTGGGTATCCCTATCCCACATTGTTACTGGGCATGAGACAAGAACCTCGTCCCTGAGCTGAAGAACTGTGCACCCCAGAGGCTGGCCATTCAGCTGAACCAGAAAAGCCGCTGGAAGGTGAGACTTTGAAGCCTGGGGGCTAGCGTTTGCCAGTCCATTAGAGCCAACACTGCTGGGGGCTAGGCTTATCAGCTCCTTAGACTACCTTCCCTAGCCCGCTTTGCTGGCCAATCCATTGAGCTGACAATTTCCAAGCCCTAGCTGACCTGAGAAATCTGTATCAATATGCTATTGTGTTTAACAATTGTGTATCATAACTAATCACAGCTTGTTTTGATCGCTTGTGTTACTAAAAATTATAATTCAGTGTGGGAGAAAAATTTAGTACTTAAGCTTTCTCTTTTCAGAAAATTAAAAAAGATAACTTGAAATGTATATTATACTCTCACAGGAGTTATGATAGGGTGATGAATGTGATATTTCAAGCATAAGAAAACATTACACTAAGATAAAATTATATGGGAAAATTGAATGGAAATACCAGTTCCAAGAAAAAAAGACGACATATTTCCAAATTCTGAAGAGTTTACTCATGTTACTTTAAAAAACGATGGTAGGTATCAAATAAGTACTTCAATTTTATTGGGCACGTTTTAAAAACTGATAAGATAATTTTATTGAAGTTTTTATGTTTCAACACACTGAAAATGATACCATCTGCAACCCATCATTTTAAAAAAAATTATTTTAATGTAAAGATGTAGCCAGGCTCGGTGGCTCAGCCTGTAATCCCACGCTTTGGGAGGCTGAGGTGAGTGGATTGCCTGAACCCACGGGTTTGAGACCCACCTGGGCAACTTGGCAAGACCTCATCTCTACAATAAATCAAAAAATTAGCTGGGCGTGGTAGTGTTCACCTGTAGTTCCAGCTACTTGGAAGGCTAAGGCGGAAGGATCACCAGAGCCCAGCAGGTTGAGGCTGCGGTGGCCGGGAGCGTGCCACTGCACTCCAGTCTGGGCGACAGAGTGAGACTCCAACTCAAAAAAAAAAAATGTGAGCAGCCTGGCTACTGCATAATTTTTATTCAAGTCTTTTCTAGATTAACCTAGAACAAAAATGTTAGGAGATTACTGTCTTGGGGTAAAGCGCCGCCTTAGTCGTGTGCTACATGATATCCTTGCATCATGAAAGAGTTAACTATCCCCCAAAAGGGAGATGGGACTATTGATAGAACCTCTTTCATAAGATTGAGAGGTAAGGTATGCAAAAAACCTTTAGCACAGAGCCTGGCACAAGATAAGTACCCAATAAATTGCAGATGTTGTGAACCAAAGACAAGAGACCAAAAAGCTCCTGCGTTGCAAAAACAGACCTACAGCTACGGTCTAGGAGCTATCAGTGAGAATGAGGAATGTAAGAAAAAAGCATTCATTGGGTCCATGCTGTGTGTATATTTTGTTGTCCAACTGTAGAAAAATGGGCATTGTCATCCCCATTTTGCACGCTATGAGACAGAGCCATACACCACCCTTGTCAAGGTCACACTTCCAGGAGGTCGCTAAACCACATAAATGCAGGCGTCTGCACAATGAAGATCCTCCCCCGTGAACTGCACGGCCTTGTGCTAATATCACACCAGGCCTTGTTGCTGAGGGCACTCAGGCTGGGGTCCAGATCCGTTATCTACAAACAGCATTCTGGGAAGCATCTCTAATGGGCAGTTACTCCGCTACTGGCTAGGTTTGTGACTTCAAGACAGTGATTTAATCTCTTTGTGGCTCATTTTCCTCACCTAATCATAGTATCTGGCTGACAGGGTTGTGAGGATTAAGGAGCATAGTGCCTATTATACATGTATCCAATGCATGTAAGTCTCTGCACACAAAAGTGCTTGGTAGATCTTAGCTTTTGTGATTATCACTACTGTTCTCCTCTTACCCAACCTGGCCATTCTGCTCTCCTTTATTTATTTTTGAGACAGGGTCTCACTCTGTTGCCCAGGCTGGAGTGCAGTGACACAACTGTAGCTCACCACAGTATCAACCTCCTGGGCTCAAGTCATCCTCCTCCTTCAGCCTCCCAGGTAGCTAGGACTTCAGGTACGCACCACTATACCTAACTGATTTATTTTGGGGGTTTTTTTTGTTGTTTTTTTGCAGAGACAAGGTCTCATTGTGTTGCCCAGCCTGGTCTCGAACTCCTGGGCTCAAGCAATCCTCCAGCCTTGGCCTCCCGGAGTGCCTTATCTCCTCCCACTGTGCCTGGCCTCCTCTCTCTCTTAAAAGGTTGTTGCTGATCCTCCCCTGACAAAAACTGGGTGTTCTGCTGCACTCTCCTTTAAGCTTTAACAAGGAAGCAGCGGCCATTTATTGAACACCTACTCTGTCAGGCACTGTGTTGCTTCCAATACTTACATCACCCTGGGGGACGGAAGGGTTTGTCATCTCCCGTTTGCAGTCAGGAAAAGTGAGACTTCTAAGGATTAGGTGGTGTATGCAGGTGAGTTTCAAGTTCCCAGCAACTGAGCAGGGTATCTGGGACGCCCCACGTCATTGGACCTCTGGGCAGAGTCAGCTGCAAGTCTACCAGGATATGTGAGGAGGGGAGGGGACAGTGTGTCCATCAGGGCTGAATTCTTTTCTGCAGAGCAGTGGGAGAAGGGGGGTGACGCGCAGGACAGCCCAGGGAACCAGAACTGCCCACGACAGAAGGGGAGCTGGGGCCACCTACTGAGGTCAGCAGTGCCACCTGCCAGCTGGGAAGCCTCCACTCGCAGTGCAGCTGCGGTGCCAGGATGCTGAGGATCATCATCTCCATGGCGTCGGCCATCTATAGAGAGGAAGGACACGCATGAGGCCTGGGGTCGCTGTGCGGGGATGGCTAGCCAGGCCCATGGCCCCAGGGAGAGGGCGCAGCACACCCATCTTCTATGCCCCGCTAATCACCGCACCCATATCAAATCAAAGTCCTGGTAGCTAAAGCTGTGTGTGATCATGCGAGAATTGACACATAGACATTTCACATTGTTTCTATGGGAGTGTTTTGAAAAATATGGGCACATCCCCAATTGAAATGGGAAAACACCGTATTTCTAAAATCTGAGGAAAAGAAAAACGCTTCAAAAAATAATAATGAGGCCCGGTGCGGTGGCTCATGCCTGTATTCCTATCACTTTGGGAGGCTAAGGCGGGAAGATTGCTTGAACCCAGGAGTTTGAGACCAGCCTAGGTAACATAGTGACACCTGTTTTTTTTATGCCTAAAAAATAAAAAATTAGCTGAGTGAGTCTGTAGTCCCAGCCACTCGGGAGGCTGAGGTGGAAGGATCGCCTGAGCCCAGGAGATTGAGGCTGCAGTAAACTGTGATAACACCACTGCACTCCAGCCAGGGTGACAGAGTGAGGCTCCAGGTCAAAAAATAGAGTCCCATTCTGTTGCTCAGGCTGGAGTGCTGTGGCAAGATCATAACTCACCAAACTTCAAATTTCTGGGTTCAAGCAATCCTCCCACACAGCTAGGACCACAGTCTTGTGCCACCACACCTGGCAATTTTTTTAAAAAAAAACAATTGTTTGTAGAGGCAGGGTCTCCTTATATTGTCCAGCTGGTCTCAAACTCCTGGATTCAAGCAATCCTCCCACCTTGGCTCCCCAAAACACTGGGATTGCAAGTGCAAGCCACTAGGCTCAGAGGGAAGGGAAAAACATTCTTATAAAGGTAGAGAGACACCTTTTCTTTTTAGAGCATTTGAAGACTAGTTTATCTTTGATTTATAGGTCATTTGTTCGTGTAGAATTGTCGTACATTTAACAAGTGCAACCTTTTTTTTTTTTTTTTTTAGTTGGAGTCTCACTCTGTGGCCCAGAATGGAGTGCAGTGGCCGCTCCCGGCCACCGCAGCCTCGACCTGCTGGGCTCTGGCGATCCTTCCACCTCAGCCTTCCAAGCAGCCGGAATTACAGGCATGCGCTACCACGCCCGGCTGATTTTTTGATTTATTGTAGAGGTGAGGTCTCGCTGCCCAGGTGGGTCTTGAACCTGCGGGCTCAGGCAATCCACTCACCTCAGCCTCCCAAAGGCGCAGGATTACAGGCTGAGCCACTGAGCCCGGCCAACGCTTCTCAGCCTTTTGGCCAAGATCAAGTGTAGTATCTGTTCTTATCAGTTTAAAGTGCAACCTTTTAACACATTGAAACATACTAGGAAGCCCCAGAAATTAAACACTGTGGTAATTTACTGGATTAGACAGGACGATAGAACAGAGTACAGAAGAAACACTCTCATGCAGTAGTGAGAACATGATGTACATTACAGGCAGCTTTTCTAATTACTGGGGGAAATGTTGTGGGGAAATTAACGATCCATTCAGATGGATCGGATCCATTAAGAAAAATATAGTGGTAAGATAGCTGTCTTACACCATTCACAAAAATCAGTCTAAGTTGTGTTAAAGGTTTGCCATAGCTACATAAGGGGATTTAACAAGGAATTGTGAGGGTCCTGGAGCAGAAGGCAGATTTTAAATCTGTATGTGTTTTTGTCAGGAGAGCTCCACAGCTGACATCCATAATCTCATAGTAAACCTGAGCCCCAAAGGGTTAAGAACCACTTAATTAGCTACATGCCTCCTTGAGGGCAATCACCCAATTATCAGAGACCCCGATTATCACCACTTATAACTCCACAAACATTTTGTTCATCGGAATTCAAGCAAAGGTTCTGTAAAGAAGCAAGTGTCCTTCCTTGTGGACCATAGAAACCCAACTGAGCAGCATGGGGGCTTCTTGGAAGCTGCATGTGAGGCCATTGCTCCCTAGAAATACTTGCCCAAGCCAAGCCGGTGAGAACTGACAGCTTCCACTGAAATTTTCCAAACCCAATGGCTTCCACTGCATCTTCCACCATGAAAGTATCTGGGAAGGAAAAAGAGGGGGTAAGGAAGAAATCCTGAGTACCTCACGGTTGTCCTAGCACAAGGATGTCTGGAGTAGGCCCCAGCCAAGCTAATTAAAGCACATGGTGCTTCTAGAACTCATCCTAGAAAAATATCCCAGTGTGAAGACATATCTTGCTACTGCAACATTTTATACAAAAGGGAAAACTAGACAATCCAGAATGTCTATCAACAAGGGGCTGGTTGAATAAGTCATGACATAGATTATACATTATTACATATCCACATTATGAAATATGACCCAACTGCTAAAAAGAATGCAAATATAGAAAGATGTATATAATATATTACTAATTAATATTTTTGGGAGGTGGTGTTGGAGTCTCACTCTGTTGCTCAGGCTGGAGTGCAGTGGCACGCTCACGGCTCACCGCAGCCTCAACCTCCTGGGCTCAGGTGATCCTTCTGCTTCAGCGTCCCAAATAGCTGGCACTACAGGCACACACTGTCGGGCCAGCTAATTTATTTTATTTATTTTTTTGTAGAGACAAAGTCTTGCTATGTTGTCTAGGCTGGTCTTGAATTCCTGGGTTCAAGCAATCCTCTAGCCTTAGCCTCCCAAGTTGCTAGGATTACAGGTATGAGCCACTGCACTCAGCAAAATTTTAAAACAAGATAAAGTATATATTATGGTTCTATATTTGGAAATGTATGCACATGTGTTCATATATGTGTGTCTATGCTATACAGTCATAGACTATGTACAAGGCTTTGATTTTTTTTTAAGTTTAAAATACTTTTGGAGACAGGGCCTTGCTATATTGTCCAGGCTGGACTCAAACTCCTGGGCTCAAGTGATTCTCTCACCTCAGCCTCTCAAGCAGCTGGAATTACAAGTATACACCACTATACCCAGCTTGAGGTTTTAAATTATTGAGGTTTTATTTTTGTTGTCTTGGAGAGAGGAAAGAAGAAATCATATGAAACTTTAACTTTTTTCCTTTTATAATGTATTACTTCCATAGCCAGAAAAGTGTAAATACTTTTAAAAAGAAGAATTCCCTCTGCACTCGGATGGAAAGATGTGCACACTGTGTCATTAAGCGAAAAAGGCAAGTTGTGGAGAGGCAGAAACAGAAGAACTGTCTTCAGATAAAATTAGATATACGTGTGTGCACACCATGCAGAGGAAGTGAGACTGAGTGGACATCTTTCAAGCAGGGTTGAAAGGGGTCATCATTGAGAACAACACTCACCTTCCTACTTTGAACATTTCCATACTGACTGGCTGTTTTCCAAATAAACAAGTGTTATTTTTATGCTCAGAAAAAATATGGATATGACATATAAGCTAATAAGTGTTTTGAAAAATACTAAAATACTAAAGCTGAGCTGTATCTGGGAACAACTCGTGGAATCTGAGCCAAGTGGAGCTGGTTAACAGTGTTATGCCAGAAAAAAAAAACAAAGAACAGTGCTGCACCGATGTTAATTTTTTGGTTCTGACAAAGGTACCATGGTCAACAGGTGGAGGCCGCAGGGAGTGGGGTGATACATGGTGTATGGGAACTCTGTTTTAGCTGCAACTTTTCTGCAAATCTAAAATGATTCCGAATTAAAAAGTTAATCGAAGAATAAAAATACTAAAGGAGAATGCTGGTGGCCCTCCCATGGACAGCCTCCAAGGCTCTCATCAGCTTGTGTGCTGATGTTCATTGTCTTTTTGGAATTTCAACCATGGGCCTTCCCATGTCAGTCATAATTTTCCCCAGAAGCATGAGCTGGTGTTTATCACATTAGCAGGTTCTAATTTTCTTCAGCAAAAATGTCATCAAGAATAAGAACAGTAAGAACAATATTTAAACATTTTTAAAGGTATATAAATAAAAATTGAAATTAAAAAAGAAAAACAAGGGTGCAGTGGCTCGTGCTTGTAATCCCAGAATTTTGGGAGGCTGAGGTGAGAGGACTGCTTGAGCCCGTGAGTTTGAGACCAGTCTGGGCAATATAGTGAGATCTCATCTCTCAGATAGATAGATAGATAGATAAATGAAAATTTAAAAGAACACTATTATGATGCACTTACTAACTGCTCACTACACCCCAGGCACTGCACTAAGAGCTAGATGTGCAGTATCTCATCAAATCCCCATCACAACCCTGTAAGTGAAGGCCTAATATTAGCCCCATTTTGCAGAGGAGGACCTGGATTTGCCCCATGTTGTACAGCTGGCACTTTGTGGAGCTGGGAGTTGAGCCAAGATCAGCCTGGGAGTCAGACCTCAGCTCCTAACCACAGACCCATCTCTTCCTCCTCAGTCATTGCCACTGTGTCCCTGCCAACATCAGGTCTTGGGCTCAAGTCATTGGTCCTCTCCTCTACTGGGAATCTGGGCCTTTCAGGAATGCATGGATTGTTTTCACCATCAGCATCAGGTTGTGAGGGGAGTCTGAGACAGGTCCCACAGTACCGCCTCGGGTCCCATATTTGACGAGATCTACTCAGAGGCAGCACAAGGTCTTGGGTACAAATGGGAGCTCTTGGACCAGACTGCCAGGGTATAAATCCAGCTTGGCTAATTTCTGACTCAACAATCCTGGACGAGATATTTAACCCTTCTCTATCTCAGTTTCCTCAACTGCAAGTTGGGGAAGATGATGGTACTAGATCTAGCTGGAGCTGTTGTGAGGATTAATGGGTGATACATGCAAAGTGTTGACCATAGTGCCTGGCGCAGAGTAAATCCTCAGCCAATGTCAGCTGTTCCCATATCACTGTCATTGTCGCTGTGACCATCACCGCTATCATCACAACCAATATTATCACCACCATTGTCAGTATGCTGTCACCACCAGCATCACTATCACCACCATCAGTATCACCATCACTGTTACCACCATCACCATCATCATTGCCACTATGACCACCACCGTCCTCACCACCATCATCACTGTCATCCTTACATCATCATCATCGTTGCTGCTGCCATCTTTAGCCAAGTGTTATGCAAAGATGCTGAGGGGGAGAGGTTGTGGTATAACCTTGCTGGCTGGAGTAAGCCAGGTGGGCCCAGCCCACACTTCCAATATAACCCCTGGGCTCTCTGGGGCCCCCAGTTGCTCCTTCATGAAACCCATCTGAGATTGCTCCCTGGGAAGGCAGCCCTGGTACCTCAGAGCCCCTGGAGGTGGCCCAGGCTGATGCCCCCACTGCAGGCCCCCTTACCATCGGTGGGATTGGCAAACTCCTTAGGCACAGCTGCCCCATCATCCAGCTCAACGGCCTCTAGGCCTGCGCGGACCCCTTCAATCTGGACCTCATGTTCTCCTGAAGCCGTGTCGTCCTCGGACCTTGCACTCTCACCCGTACGACGGAATTTCACCACCCTAGAGGAAAGAGCAAATGTGGTCACGAAGGCTAGAACTTCCCTTCAGTGGCCTTGCGGCATAGCCCTAGCACCCAAGACAGATGAAGTACATTTTCTTATGGTTTGGAGAATTGATAGATGGGGCTTGGCATTTCTACCAAGTTGGGCTGGGGTTGAGGGGGGGAGAGTAACAACTTTGAGAGTTAGATATACCACATACAACTGGGCAGGTTGGGCACTGTACATTCCAGTACAGTAGCACATTCCATGGCAGGCTATGTGATTGAGGCCATATTTGTTCTAGACCTGAATGCTGTTTGCAAGGGTATTTGTTTCAGAATTTAGGCTCATCTGTCTGTGTCTAACAAAAGTAATAATTTGGTCATCTAAAGGTCACATTAGACCCACAAAATGTTGCCCATATAGTATTTTTTACAAATTTAAAGTGGATACCAAAATCTTTAAATTGTGAGGATTCACATAAAAATCCAGAATCCCCATGTCTCTTGTAAAGGTAGAGTAAGTATCCAGCCATCAGGTGCCCACGTTCCTGCCCTGGAATTGTGGCCAGGTCAGGGCAATGGTGCCCTGAGACAGGATATGCACTCCACAGTTGACCACCACCTCCTCTTCTCCAAATTTTCTCCAGGCCCGAGGGTCTTTTGCCTCTTATTATTACACTTGTTCTTGGCACAAGGCCCCATTCATCTGGCCCCATAGGCATTTGAGTTTGAGAACACATGAAGCCCACTTTTATGGCCCGTGTTTCCTTCAAAGGATGCTGTTTCTTGTTATTCTGGGAGAAACCTTGGTTTCCCTGAGTAGTAGCTATTTCATCCGGGACTCAAAAGTAAATCTGCCTGTCTCCTGATTTTCTCACTCCCAAACTCAAAACTCCGGCTTTCTGCCAGCCCTGCCGAGGGTCTAGGGGCTGCAGCACCGATGGGACAGATGTGTTCTGTCCTCACAGCCTGACAAGGGGACAGAGGCACTAATGTGTAAGTCATTTCCATCAGGACTTTGCAAGAAGTCTGGGTTGTCATGAATGTGAATGGCAGAGGAGCCACGTGTGTGCTCAACCAGAGGGCAAATTTGCCCCATGTTTTAAAAAGGCGAAAGAAAGAAATATCTAAGCACAGAACATTGCTGTTATTAACTATTGCCTTATTTCATATATTTCTCCAAAGAATAACTGGGGCTCTAGCAAAGAAAGGGTAAATCTTTGGATTTCAGAAGCAGGGAGAACACACCCTGCTTGTGAAGTTCTAGAAGAAGAAAGACCGATTAAATCACAGCAGCTTTGTAAACACCTGAAACTGCACACCCTGGCAACACCGGACTTGGAAAACCCAAGCTGTCCAGCTTGTCTTGGCTGGGAATGCAGGGCCCAGCGCTGGATTTGCAGGCAGACCAGTGGGGTCTGAAACCTGCTGCTGGCATGTCATCCATCTATCACCATCACCATCCAGTAATCTCGAACTTGTGCCCCACACAAGTCCTAGCTGATGTTTTCTGTGCACTTAATCTACACAGCACCCTGAGTTGCTATTATTATCACCTATTTTACAGACAAGAAAACTGAGGCCCCAGAAGTCACATGACTGCCCACAGTCCCATAGCTAATGAGGCATGGAGCCAGGATTCAGCCTCAAGTCTATCTGACTCAAAACCTTGGGGGTACTGGCCAACAAAAGGATACCACCTCTCCAAGCCCTTCCACTGCTCCCCATTTACTCTGATTTTTTTCACTGAAGCATTTTATTTTATTTCAAGCATATACAACTAGAGAATTGTCTCAATGAGAGACATGCCTTTATTTCTACTGTCCAGCTTAAGAACTAAACCCCACTATTGGGTTGAACCATATGAAACTGCCATCATTCGGCCACCATTCGGTTGAAGCCACCATGTCACCTCTCCTCACATCTTCACAGGTAGCACTCTTCCTTGAACAGGGGTTTCTGTGCCTCATTATTTGATTTACTGCTTAAAATAGCCCCCAGAGGTGAGAACTGCTTTCAATCCCATTGGGTAGGATAAAGATAAAGTCACTCTGAGCCTCAGTTGATATCTTCTATAAATTGGGTATAATAATTGTGTCATAAATCAAGTTCCCTAGAGGAAGAGCTTGTAATGAAGTTTATTTGTTTATCTTGCTAAAATACATGCAATGTGACATTTGCCATTTTAACCATTTTTAAGTGTACAACTCAGTGACATTAAGTACATGTTCATGGTTGTGAAACCATCACCACTCTCCATCTCCAGAACTTTCTCATCTTTGCCAGCTGCAACTCTGTGCCCATAAAAACCAACTCCCCATTTCCCCCTACCCAGCCCCTGGCAATCACCATTTCTACTTTCTGTCTCTGTGAATTTGACTACTCTAGGGACCTGCCACACCTCATATACATACAGTACCTGTCCTTTTGCAACTGGCTTGTTTCACTTAGCATGATGTCCTCAGGGTTCAGCCATGTTGCAAGTGTCAGAATGTCCTTCCTTTTTAAGGCTGAATAATATTCCATTGTATAGATAAAGCAATCACATTTTGTTTATCATCAGTTGATTGACACAGATTGTTTCCATGTTTGGGGTATTGTGATAATGCTGTCATGAACATGAGTATACAAATATCTATTTGAGGTCCTGCTTTTTCCTCTTCTGGTTATACACTCAAAAGTAGAATTGCTGGATGAGATGGTAACTTACATTTAATTTTCTGAGGAATTATCATATCATTTTCTCTCTCTTTTTTTGCTCTTCACCCGTATGCTTTATTGAGTTGAAAAATAAAATGCTGGCACTCATCGCAAAAATCAGGTAAGATAAATGAAATTCTGAAGCCAAATAGTTTCCATGTAGGAAATATACAGAGTTATCAAAGAATACCTCAAAATAAAAAATAAGAACAAAATTTCATAGAGGGCTTCTGTCAAATCTTCAAAGAGTGTCAATCTGAACACTAATTAAATTTTCCAAGAGCAAAGAAAAAGATAACTTCTGCAAAATGTTCACTTTATATTTTACTTTATATTTCATTTTATATCTTTATATTTTACTTATGTCTGTCAATGCAAAGTTTCTACATCAAATATTAGCAAATATTCAATACCAAACGAAAAATACTTCACCATGACCAAAGGAGATTTATTCCAGAAATGTAAGGATGATTCAATATTTTAAAATGATCATTATAATTCATATTTTTTTTAAAAACTATTTGTAATTATTAAAGGGACACAATAGTTTAATGTATTTATAGGATATGTATGATGTTTTGATACTGACATATGGTGTGTAATGATCAAATTAGGGTAATTGTTATCCATTACCTCAAGCATGTATAATTTCTTTGTGCTAGAAACATTCCGATCTCATTCTTTTAGTTATTTAAAATAGATGAGCCATATTGTTTTTCTAAGGTAGCTGCCACACGTCATATTCCCACCAGCTGTGCACCAAGATTCCAATTTCTCCAACCCTTGCTAATACTCGTCATTTTCCATTTGTTTGATGCAGCTATCCTGTTTTGACTGGCACTTCAATAATAGTAAGCGACTTTTTCATGTGCTTATTGGCACTTTGTATATCTTCTTTAGTGAAATGTCCATTTAAGTCCTTTGCCCATGTTTACTTGTTTGTTTGCTTTCAAGTTGGGAGTCTCACTATGTCACCCAGGCTGGAATGCAGTGGCACAGTCATGGCTACCGCAGTATCAACTTGCTGGGCTCAGGTGACCCTTCTACTTCAGCCCCTCTTGGTAGCTGGGACTACAGGCACACACCACTGTGCCTGGCTAAATTTTTTGATATTTTTGTAGAGACAAGGTCTTGCTGTGTTGCCCAGTCTTGGACTCCTGGGCTCAAGCAATCCTTCTGCCTCAGCCTTCCAAAGTGCTGGGATTATGGGCATGAGCCACTGCACGTGGCCCCTTTGTCCATATTTAATTTGGGTTGTTTCGGTTTTTTGTTGCTGATTTGTAGTTCTTTATGTATTTTGGGTATCAATCTCTTATCAGATATATTATTTATAAATATCTTCTCCCATTCCTTGGGTTGCCTTTTCAGTCTGTTGATTGTGATCCTTTGATGCATCTGATGTTTTTTATTTCGATGTAGTCCAATTTATCTATTTTAATTTTAATTATCTGTGCTTTGGTTGTCATAGCCAAGAAATCACTGCCGAATTCAATGTCATAAAGCTTTTCCCCTAATTTCTTCTAAAAGTTCTATAGCGTTAGGTCTTTGATTCATTTTGAGTTAATTTTTGTACATGTTGTTAGGTAAGGGTCTAACTTCATTCTTCTGCATGTGGGTATCCAGTGCTCCTAAGACCATTTGGTGAAAATACTGTCCTTCCCCAACAGAATGGTCTTGGCACTCTTATTGAAAATCATTTGATCAAATCCTTTGATCTGAGAGTTTATTTCTGGCTCCCTCTTCCATTCCATTGACATAAGTCTATCCTTAGGCCGGTACCACACTATTTTTATTGCCATAGCTTTGTAGTAACTTTTGGAATTGGGAAGTGTGGGAGTCCAATTTTGTTCTTATATTTCAAGATTGTTTTGGCTATTCAGTATATCTTGAGATTCTATATGAATTTTAGAGTGGACTTTTCTATTTCTACAAAAAATTAGGTGAGAATACTTGTGTCAGTGATGTGCTAAGGAAGAAACCCAAACCTCACCATCCTGCAATAGACCCATGTAACAAGCTTGTGTGTGCACCTCTCAAATCTAAAATAACATTAAAAAATTTTTTTAAATCTTTTTTTTGAGTCAGAGTCTCACTCTGTCTCCCAGGCTGGAGTGCAGGGGCACGCTCACGGCCACTGCAGCCTCGATCTGCTGGGCTCAGGCGATCCTTCTGCCTCAGCCTTCCAAGTAGCCAGAACTACAGGTATGCACTACCACACCCAGCTAGTTTTGCTTTACTGTAGAGACGAGGCCTCGCCATGTTGCCCAGGCTGGTCTCCAATTCCTGGGCTCAGGTAATACTCTCACCTCAGTCTCCA